ATACACATGTAGAAAATGATCATGAACAACTTTCCCAGCAGCGCCAAGTGAGGTTGGTTTGTGAGGGAAGCGTAAAAATTCGAAAAACTCCTTAGAGACACTTAAGGAGTGTAGTGCTCAAGCCAAAAATCGACGATTAGTCCTAAGCCCCTCTGCGAGGGCGCGGACGCGGCCGCGCGGAGAGGGCTTTGTTAAGCTAACTCTTACGCGGCCGTGTCAGTTAAGGCTGTGCTCGTACTCTTGGTTCGATGCTGTGTTAGTGTGAGATGAAATTAAGATGGTCAACACACTGTAGATAGATTTCTATGGATCACCAAAAGAGAAGAACTTGAAAAAAAACGTGCTCAATAAATCAACCTATTGAAATTGATCACAAGATGAATATGAATTTCTTTAGTCTACTTTTTAGTCACCTTCCCCCCTTCACGTGATCGCTGAGGATGTAAAAAGTGGAGAATTCAAGATCACTCATCACAATTTGAAATCGTGAGTTTTTTTTACAAAAAATGATGAAACATGAAGTTTTTGAATTTGTGAACATGAATGATGATAATATCGAATTTCCTAGAAAATTTCACTTGGTCATGACCTTTATGATCAAGTGATCTTTCAATCGATTTGAGGCATTTATTCCAGTGCTCTCTTGGACCTGGGTGTTGTTTTAATGTACACAAGTTTGATTTGGAAAATGCCAAGACCTGATTGGCACTGCCTTTTGGGATTTCTTGGTGTGATGCACCGCGAGATACAAGGCTGTCCATTTTTCGTTCCTCTTTCCGACCTTTCGGCATGCGGGCTTCATGAGCTTGGCTTCGAATGATCGATGGCTCCTTGCTTGGTTGACTGGTTACTTCATCAGAAGAGCTGACGCATGCGATTCTATAACTACGGTGCCGGATCGTTGGCAGGAGACGTGGGTTCGAATAAGTTTCTTACATCTTGGCTCCAAGACTCCGCCTAGAACGGTGCCGCTGTGATCTATAGGATGAACTCTGAGTGTATCGAATTGGATTGGGGGTGAACCTCATCGAAGAGGAGTATGTAGCGTATACTGAAACTGATACCAAGCTTACTCCGTCCAGCTTACGCGCTTGATGTGATAAACTTCAGGGGGAGACGAGTATTATAAAAAACGTTCAAAGTGAATTGGAAAAATAATTAACAAAGGAAACACTTCAACAGATACTGTAAGCTGAAAAAGCAAAGAAATCGGAAAAAAGTTGATTCTTCGAAAAAGCGTGATCTGGAAGTTTACATATGTTCATCAGTTCATCATCATGTGCCTATATCGTTAGCTCAAACATTTCAAGGATTGGTTCAAGATCGATTTCAAAGTTGATACATAGACTCTGCAAGAAAAACGGAGATCCTAAATTTGAAGAACTTCAAGAATAATTTTTTGATCGATGATGCATATGGAAAATCTAGTGAAGGAAATATAAAAGGAAAAAAAAACACATCACAAGATTCAAACCTCAGCTTTACATTCCGATGACCCCACTCCCCAATGAGGAAACTTGAGTCACCGGCTCAATTAAAGTCAAGTCTCATCCACCATCACATGCGGTCCTTGTTAGGAGCTTTAATTTCTTAGCTTCTTTACTCATTTCGGTCTATCTCCTTCATCCGTTCTCTGCATCGGCTGTAGAATCATTTTACATTCTCTTAAACTCAAAACACGTTCCTTTTTTTTCCCTATCTATCTCGATCAACTTTCTCGGTTCCATCAAGAAAACTTATCACACTCACTAGACATACTTCTCTCTTTACATACTTCTGCATATCCTATCCTTAAAGTTTCCTTGATATCCATTTAAGAAGTTTCACTACTTCATAGTCTTAACATTTCATCAGAAACTCTCTTGTTTTATCATCCTCTAGATCAAACAAGTCTTGAAGTCTTCACTGCTTTTCACCAAAAAACTCATACCTCCACATACTCTCTGCATCTCTCCTACCGAGGATGTCTTATCTATCTGAGTTGAGGTTTCTGAATCGACCTTCAAGCGAAAAAAACTCTCACTCGAACGAATTTCATCATCTGCAGCATACCCAACTTGGTGATCATAGTCAAACATCTTCAGCTTCTTCTTTCAACCTTAACTTTAATCGTCGAACACTTCATCATACCGAGTTAAGGGAATTGTCTCCATATTCCATTTCGACCGAATTGATCAGTCATCCTTCAGATCTCAATTTACAAACTTGTTCCGAACTATCAGATCAAGAAGCAATTCGAAAAGAATTATCTCAATGGAGTTTTCCTGACGATTTACCGGTATCGAAACGAGAGATCATTTGGGGACCTTATGCTGAATCGAGCACCGACGAAAACCTTTGTATTCCTGCTCAATGGCAACAGACTACACCTATCAGTATTTGTAAGCAAGAGCCTGCTACATACTATCCACCAACGCCAACATCGCTAAAGCGACCAAGGATCCAAACCGACTTGATCAATGAACGTGATGCAAAGAATTCAGATCCAATCAATCGACATCCAAAGCGAACACGAAGGAAATCTTCAAATGAAACTGAATTAGGATCAGAATTATATTCACCTACAATAGTATCACCTACGTATGATCGATTTAATAAAGTCTTTACGATCCTTGAAGGTCTTTCTCCTCAATCAGATACTTCATCAACCTACTCGAACAATTGCCTTGAATGTCTTCATTCACAACACGGATCAAATACATCGTCAAATCCTTTTGATAGTAGTGCAAGTTCAACATATCCTTCTTACCAACCTACGTCTATAAGTAATCATCATCAAACTTTTAGTTGGTATAAACCATCTATCAATTCAAATCATTCAACATGGTGGGATCATTCAATCAAATCTTGTTTATAAGCAACTTCTCACTATTACTTGGTTTTCTTTTACTTCGTTTTCATTATCTATATATACGTATTTAATATATCATATGCATTCTTTTTTTTCTCTTCAGAAAAACTTCTTAGATTTTGTTTATACTTTTCATTTCTCTCGTTATTTATGTAAAATCATTAAATAGCATTTACATTTTATCAAAAAAGAAACAGAAAATATATATATTAGATTTATAGGAAAAGGAGGTCTTTTTTATAGATGATATTTGATTTGATTTGATTTTTCTTCGTTTTGATATAATTTTTTATAAACTTCGAACTTGTTGTTGGATTAGAGATGAAGTTTTTTTGTTTTGTTTTGGAAAAAAAAAACATTGATGATTAAAAACATAGGATTTTTTCTGATGACTGATGAAGAGGAGTTGTATAACTTCAGAACATTGACTTCATCATAAATTGTTGCTCATTTGTTCTACATACCCTGGATTTATGAAAGTTCACGTATGTTTGGAGAAGGCATTGGAGGAATACGATTGATCAGAGATAAATTGGTCATTTTAAGGGTAGTAAAAAGAAAAAGAACAAAAGAAATCAAGCCCCAAAAGGTTTTGTTGATTTGATAAAAATTCTTGGAATGTGCAGGATACAATGTGTTTGAGTATCTCAATCATTGAATTGACAACGATTAAAACAAACATTTCAGATATTTCATTTGATCAACAAAAGTCTATAAAATTCAGATAATTGACGAAATGATTGATTGGGCTCTGGTTATCTTGTTTCTAAAATCATTGAGAACCCACAACGTCTTTTGCCAACGTTATGCAGATTATGGCCCACAAATAACCTTCATAGAAATCATTTTGATTTGTTTCCAGACAGATGCTGGTGTCAGAGTGCGGCAAGAAGAAGAAGAAAATCAAATTGGTGGTCTGTGTGTGTCATGACTATAGTCAGAAAAGGCAAAAGCTTTTAAATCACGGTCTGGGGGTTATTATTACACCTCAGCAGCTCTTTACCAACCAAATCTTCCAGTGCGGGGCCGTTTGGAGTTCATCTTGAAACATTTTCTTCAAGATTTTTAACATTCACGGTTGAACTTGTGGGAGATAATATATGCACCAATGGCTATAACCGGCCGCACTCCGTAACACTCATCTGCCTCCCGACCATTTGGAATGGCTTCCGTTTTTTAATTGCACATTCATAGTCTTTTGTCTTGTCCAGACTGTTTCCTGTTTTTTGGGGGTTGTGACATTGCTAAATATCTTTCAGTACTTGAGACCTTCTCCTAGCGCGAATAATGGTGCATGAATGGCTTTTTTGGTTTGATTTTTTTTTCATTTTCTTACTGGAAAATATTGAACCATATGAGTCTTGACTGGTTGAGGACTCTTTTTCAAAATCCTCTTTCTCCATGCTTTTGGATTTGTAGACAGATGTGGCATTCAGCCAAAGGATCAAATGGAATTGCACCGCAGACAGATCGGCGGTTGAGTTGAAGTTTCTTCAGTATAAGCATATTTCACCAATTGCCGAAGGTCAGTATGCTTTAATTGAATTTGATCTGCACATTTTGACAGAATCACGTGACATTCACAAAGTCATCCAAATTTTTTTGATCAAGTTCATCGACAACCCAACGAACAACAACAACCCAAGACCAAAATCAGAAAGCATGCCAACATTCAACGATGCCGACGAAATTGTGGCTGCATTCTCACAACAGGATCCTGCATCGATTGGATCAGGTGTTAATCTCATTAACCAATCTACCATAAAAACGTATTATCTGACGTCCAAACTGATCTAATTTGAATTCTCTCTTATTTTTCTGTCTGGTAGCCCTCACTCAACTTCGTCAGGCTTGTTCTATTCGACCCGTACCCAAGGCTGTGTTGAATTACCTACGACAGGATCCTTCTGCAAGTGCTGTGTCCGGTGCTCTGAACCTTTCTCGCGAGGTTTGTTTTCGAACTAGTCTCAAGCTTTCTTCATATTTGGTTTTCGCTGATGGTTCTTGTTGACCAATTCCAGTCGAACTCAATTCATCTTTTGAGTAACTGCCTTTACACTCTCGCTCATCTTATCAGTATTTCCTCAACAAATCAGTTTAGCACCGACAACGCTCATGATGCCGCACGAATTATTCACGACTTGATACGAAATCACTCGAAATCACTCCACCGCTGTTTTGCTCCTGGAAGGACTGAAGCTACCTTGGCATGCTTGAGCTTGTTGTATGCGTGTGTCAGCTGGAACGAAGGTGCCTGTGCACAGGTGGTGATCACCGATCTGAGATGGGACCAGAAGACGATTTCCCGGCTTCTAGACACTCGTCAGACTGTCGCTTCAAGAGCAGCCACCAAGACTAAATCAGGACCTAAGCAAATTGCTCCCAAAACTTCTAAGCTCAAGGGTCGACTTCATGAAGTGGATGTTCGAACTCTGGTCTTGAAGTTGGTGATGAAGATCATGACTGCATCTGAATTACGCCCTTCTCTGAAATTGGAGTTTTGGCGGACTAAAGGTCTTTCAACCGGTCTATTCAGAGGACTTCGATCAGATGGATACCACACCATAGCATATGTGTTGAGTGGCATCTGGGATGGTGTGATTAGAAAAGATGGTTGGACAAGTGAAAAAGAAAAGACACACGACGATAGTGGCGTGGAGAAAGCTTATAATTCTCGATGGGAATTGTTGGATCAATCGGCAATCACATACCTTGTCCAACTCTTAGACGAGGAGAACCCTCAGATTACGGAAGAAGGTTCGACTCAAACAAGTCTAGAACCCACGGCGGAGTTGGTTGAACGGTTTTTCAACCAACTCACTGATTATATATCGACTTTTACGCCATCCAGTATATTTCAGTCACATGCCAACTCGAGATTACCTCAATACCGTATCCTCTTGAATCTCATCAAATCACTTTCGCCTACACAGTCTATAAGACATCAACGACTCACCCTCCACATCCTGGATCGCAGCCCTTCTCTTTGTCCTACACTTTGGAGACATGCTGCTCCACCTATCGAGCCATCGTGTACAATCAACTGGATCTCCTCGATTGGTCTAGCTTCTAAAGTCGCTTCTATCTGCGTGACCATACCGACTTCTGTCAAGCATCGCGCTGTTTTAGCAACTGATAATAAGAACACCATCATAAACATATGTAGTAATCTCTTAGCACAATGCTTTCCGACACCACTAGGCAAAGCTTGGTTCACCAAAACCCTACAGCATAGTAACTCATTGATAGTCTATTGTTGTTTGACCTTGTTGGTCATGGGCATGAAAAAAGCTGCCAGTATCACTAGTCAGATACGCCAAGCTATTGAACAATACGATGAGACAACTCCGACATCCACTCTGATCGAACCTTCCAAATCGATGGGTCCCTGGTCCAATCTCCTGACAACCTTCAACGAGATGCTCCAATCATTGTTACCAGATCTTCAAATCCTCATCGCACTTTTGCAGAAAGCCCCCAAAGCAGCTCTACCACCACAGGGAGCCAAATCCAACGAAGCTGCTCCCGAGGTAGAAATGTCAGAAAGAAGCGAAATCAAAACCGAAGAATTCAGCTCTGACTTGATTTCAGTCCATGTACTTGCATTTTTACGATTGTGTCATGATTTGATTCCTAACTCGATTTACAACATCCGTTTCGATTATGCCAAACTTATTCCCGTCTATCTGAAACTGAACTCGTCTCCGCACCAAAATAAGGAAGACACACCGGCCATACTTGACCCTCTCGTTTATCTTTGCCAGTCAAGGATATTGCACCTAGTTGGATACTCTGCCTCAATGAACCATATGATACCCTCATCCACGTTATTAACATGTTTACTCTCCTTATCGTCAGCCTCAAGGAGTTCTTCATCTTCCCTGACAACAAACTCAGGCCACGTACCTATATCTGTCAGTGAAGCTGCACGTCAGACTCTGAAAGCCGTTCTAAAGTGTAGCAATCCACACCTACGAGATACGCCCGATGTACAGGAAATCCAAATTTGGATCGATATCTTGACCGAGATAAGCGCACATGGAGATTGTGTACCGCTTATTTCCTTTTTGGATGATTGTATCCGAGGATGCTTACGAAGTCCACTCAAATTTGCTGAAGTTGGTGAAGAATTGATCTCTACTTGCGCAAATTTATCTACCCGACCGAAAATCTCGATCCTGTATGCTGCCTTGTTCTCCAAGACGACATCGGTTATGAAAGCTTATAAACCGGATGTCAAGAAGACCAATAAATCTGAATTGATTGATCAATTGCTTAAATTTCACAATCTTCATCTCTTGGGTACACTTTCCTCCTCTCATGATCTGTCACCTATGAGTTTAGTGATCAATACATCCGAAAGACTTTGTCAATTGTTCGCACCGGTAAACAATCCGAGCGAGGGCTCGAATACCGATAGCGTTTACTTGGGTCCAATGATCATTGCGATATTGAAATCTCTGGAACCGACAAAGGACTTTGATGATAATTTGAAGCAGCACAAACTTACATGGCCTTCCTACGCTACCACTGGTATCTTTTCACGACAAGTCATCAGTCTCAATCTATTACATAGGAAATTTATTTGGCCACAGATCGAGACCCAAGGAGTAAAACGAAAGAAAGGCGTGTTGATGGTAGAATTTGGAGAGGAATCCACATCTTCTCATTTGTCTAACTCAGCCTCTCAATCACAACTTTACAAAGAGCAAAACCTTTGTCTGTTGACTCGAATTCTGGAGTGCGAAAATCAAATCCTATCAGATGATTCAAGTAGATGTCTTGATCACCAGAAACTCAAGACTGTGTTTGAGCTCATCTTGGATTGTCTCGGTGATGAGCCCAATTTGATTGAGAAATTTCTTCAAGATCGTGATGTACGACACGTTTTGAAAACCGCAATAAAACGAGCAGATACAACGTCCTTGTTCTCAGGTGAGCCTTCTACTCTGGTGCCTTTTCTTCTTGGACTCATTACTTATTGAGTTGAATGTGGAACTTTTTCGCTTGCTCTTAGATGTATCGTGTCGTGTATTTCCAAAGCTGGACTCCATCAATCCGGTTCACCGCGAGCTTGCTAAAAGTTATTCAGATCTGGTCGCCGAAGCGATTTCATCCTCTGAGAGTGGTGGTATGGATACAGCACTTACACAAATTGTAAGTCTGCGATTCTATGTCTTCATCTTCAACATCTGCAGTTGGCCTGATCAGACCAATGTCACCAAAGTGTACACGTGCTCTTTGTGCGATCTACGCGTTTTTGGAGCCATCCACTCAAAATGTTCTGCTAGATGCGATCCTCACATCAACAAAAATAAAGTCTAACACAGCGAACTCGGACGATTGGGACGGCTTGAGAAAGCTGGTTGAGATTGCTGCCGGGGTTATTGGGGATGATTCTTCACCACTCGTGTTAAGTATCTCCTCTATCAAAACCCTTATCGCCATCGCATGCTCAGTAACTAGCGAATCTGCAACTACATTACTATCGATCATGGTAACACCACTACCACGTTTCAATGCGACGTCAGCGACCTCTCAGACTGAGAAAAAGTTTT